GGGAAAATTCTTTCATGCGAGCTGGACCGCAGTGCTACACATGCGGTCTAGAAGTGCAAAGCAATCCATCTCAAACATAGATTTTTCGAAAGCGCCGCATTTCTACATGTACGGGCTTGGCTCGCATGCCAACCGCGTCCTAGAGAGAGACTTCGATGTGCGTGACCCTCGGAGTAGGAGCGAATTGTGGCAAAGATCATATCACCTTGGCCATTGTGCACGTCTAACATATTCCGTTGGGGGAAAAAGTTTACATGAGTCGCAACTTTCAAATGTAGGACCAAGGACGCACCTCAAAAATCCATCGAAAAAAAAAGCTTTTTTTTTAATGTTGAAAAACTTTTTAATTGATCATCTTCCCATTCGTAATGTATGGATATGAAAAAATAATTGAAATAGTTTATTTTACAACTTATTATCTAAACCGTTTACTTTCAATATTTTTATATGTTTATAGATCTACTTGATTTTAGCCATTTTTTAGTTTAAAATTTTATAATTAGATATGAAAATAGATTTTCAGATAATCCTAAGAATTTTTTCCATCAAAATGGCATGTTATGATACAATTTGAAATTGCGCCTTAATTGGATTGTTTAAGGACCTTATAGAAAGTACACCCTCAGTTGGGAACATATTTTACTTTCAAAGTACTTTGTGAGGATTTTTTCGATTTGAAAATTTGAAAGCCATTTAAGAATTACTAGATTATTTTTTAAAAGAATTAAAATTTAAGTTTTCAAATACGTAGATCTTACCATCCAAAAATTCTTTCGATTTGAAATTTTGAAAGCCGTTTAAGAATCACTAGATTATTTTGAAAAAATTAAAATTTGAGTTTTCAAATACTTAGATCTTACCATCTAAAAATTCGACGGTCTATATTCAATCTAGAGACATTATTTTTTCAAGTGTATAGAAGGTAAAATTAGGAAATTTTTTATTGAGGCTAATCTGACTAAAAAGATTATAATTGGGGTTTTAAAATATGGTGTAGAGAGAGTAAATGGATATTCACTGTTGTGGGGAGTAGAATGTATTTTGGCTTGTATATTTGATCCCTTGTATAAATTGTAAAAGAGCCACTTGAGTGAATTTTTGTCCCTTAAATTTCAAAATTGACAGTTGTAAGAATGTTATTGAATAGATGCAAAGTTCAAAAAAAAAAAAGTTGGACTACGGGAATCCAATTTGATATCTAATGAGTGAGAATGATTGTAACATTTATGTACAAAAGATAAATAGAATTTTTGTAGGGAAATGATCTAATGCAACGGTTGTATAGTAGTATAATGCAACCACACATCTAGAAAACCATATTTTTGGCATTTGTATGACCCCAAATTTTGCACACACATTCTCTTCATCCTCATAATCAATCTTACGAAGAAAAAAAATGCAATTTGCACTTTAGATATGGTCAAAATTAGTACACATCCAACAATGAATCTCAACAATCCATTTGGTGAATTTCAAGATCTAGGCCCTAACAAATTCAAAATCATTTTTTTCTTTTTTAGCATTATCAATTTAATGATGATAACACTATAAAAAAATTTTGGGAATAAAAAAATCCTTCTGATGCCTATATCTAACCATTTCAATAAGATTGACGGCTTATATTAATTGGGCTAGAATGAAAACTTTCTAGAACATTTTTAAAAAAATTTCTTTTTTTTGTGATTGTTCTTTCATAATGAAAACAATATACATTTAAAAATTTATGTCAAACAAATGTCTCTAACATGGTTTTCTGAAGATGGTTGCATTATACTACTATACAACCCTTGCATGAAATCATTCTCCCTCTTTGTAAACAACCTTTTTTTAAAATTTTCAGATTTTGGCCAGTGTTTTTACATAAAAATTAAAATCGCATATTGAGTTTCGAAAAACAAAATTGAATCTTAGATTTAAGGGATTGAATATCATGAGACCATTTATTTTTTGTACAATGAGATTATAAAGACTTTTAACCATTAAATGTAAAATCCAACAGATGAAGGTGTGTCATATCATTTTTGTTTTGGAATTTGTGCTCAAAGAATGACACATCATCAACCACCCGATTTAACAGTCAATAATGATTTAGATCTTTTGTATAAAAATAAACGGTCTCATTATATATATTACCTAGATTTAAGAAAAATTGTTTGGTGTGTCCAACCCCGCACCTATTACCATGCGGACTTGGAGATTTACATAGTCCCCCAAAATCGGGTCCTGTAAATAATAGTCATAAAAAGAAAGAGTAAAATCAACGGTTCAAATATTTTTTCCAAAAAATATTATTTATAGTTTTAAAATTTTATTTTATTTATAGATAAAATATCCATGTTAAAAATTACATATCCCCTAAAATTTAGGATCAAATTATATTTTAAAATAAATTATTACAGGCACACATTTCTACATGTGAGTCCGTGGACCCATAAAAACCATGTCCTTGATTTAAAACTTAACATGATTGTCCTAAAGGTGGATATTCACTATTTAAAATGGAAAATTGTTTCATGCTGGCTGGACCGCATTTCTAAATATGCTATCCATAAAGTGTAAGCATCCATATTAAAGATAGACACAAGTAGGTGTTCCGTCTAAAAACAATGGAAACTAATTGTCCAAATATATATTTTTTTACTAAAATTATTATTTCTAGTTTTTAAAATTTATTTATCTTTTCATATTCATGATCTCCTCCTTAAAAATTAAGTCTCAAAAACCATCTCAAAAATAGATTTATTGAGAGGTCCGCACTTCTACATATGCGGGCTTGGCCGCATAGAAACGAGATATATTTAAATTAGGAAGTTTGAGCGTTTTATTTTTTTGAGGTTGGTGTCTACGTTAAGTTATCCCCCCTAAATTTAGGGTCCTAAAAAGTACTTTAAAGTTTTAACCGTACAGACGGGAGTTTATAATCTTATGGCTTGAGAGGAATTCGATTTTTAGACTCTTGAGAGAGAGAGAGAGAGAGACGCTTGATTTTCAACCTAAAAAATTTGATTGTGGAGACTCATTTGAGCTGAGCTAGGTTTAAATTTCAACATTCCATTGACAAAACAGTATTGTGTGATAGAGACGCTTTTTAATAACATCTCTCATTATCACTATGTTTTTCAAAGAGAGAGAGAGAGATGTTGGATATGATAAGCATAGCATTTGACTCCTCAAGGACAATAATATCTGTTCGCTTGAAATTTTGTTTCACACATACTTCAATCCCTTCTTCTTTTTTTATCTCTTTCAATGAAATTTTACTTTGGACGTGGTTAGCATGCGGGCCAAGCCCGTAGAAATATGGGCCTTGTGATAAATCTGTTTTTGAGACGGATTTTTTTATTTAATTTTTAAGTATATGTACTCTCTAACCTGGAGATCATGAATAAAAAAATAAAATAAAAATTAAAAATTAAAAATAATAATTCTATTAAGAAAATATTTGAACAAATAGTTTCAATTGTTTTTAGATAACCATATATTTGCATCCATCTTTAAAATGGGTGCTTTATACTTTTGGACCATATATGTAGAAATACGGTTCAGCCCGTTGGGTTGAAATTTAACCATTCTTTAAAACAAAGTCGGGCATAACTTTTTGCCAGGAGTAATATAACCTAAACATAACTTGTTTAAGAGGACACGGTATTCCAATATTAAGTAAAAAAGATTCATATTCAATTTTTAATATTTAAGAAAATATATAAAGAGAGGGGCTGGGTCGTGGTGGTAGCATACCTGTCGTCATTGCATGAGGTGGGAAATTGGGTTTGTGGTGGTAGCACCCCACCTTAGTCACATTTCGTGCTCTTCAATCTCATTAACAGCTTTGAAAACCTAACTATTAAAATAAAAAATAAAATAAATAAATAAATAAATAAATAAATAAAAAAAAAAAAAGGAAGGGAGCAGGGGTCAATATTCTTTCCCAATTATGCAAAAAGTATATATATATATATATAGTAACAGATAGGGCCTACATCACCTGCAATGGCAACAGTTGTACCTCTATGATCAAGATTTGTTGACTAGTCCGAACCCACTCCACTCTTTTCTATTCCGAACCGGAACCTTGGTTAATTATCAAGGTTTGTTGACTTCTCAAGGAGAGTAGGATTGATGTTTAGCGTTAGCAATAGGCTAGGCAGCTCAA